ATGTTGTGTATTTTTTTTTTAAAAAAATTCAATCTGCCAGTCTATGTCTTCTGATTTGTGAGTTTAGGCCATTACTATTCAGTGTTAATATTGATATATGATTTGTATTCCTGGTCATTTTTGTCTATGTTTGGTATTTAACTTGACTTGGTTTCTCTTTGGATTGGCTTTTCCTTTAGTGTAATACCTCCCTTTGCTGATTTTCATTGTTTTTCATTTCCTCCTCATGGAATATTTTGCAGAGGATGTTCTGTATTGCAGGCTATCTAGTTGTAAATTCTTTTAAATTTTGTTTGTCATGGAAGATTTTTATTTCATTCTAATCTAAATCTTAATTTTGCTGGATATAAGATTCTTGGTTGGCATCCATTTTCTTTCAGAGCTTGGTATATGTTGTTCCAGAATCTTCTAGCTTTCAGGGTCTGGTTGAAAAATCTGCAGAGATCCTAATTGGTTTCCCCCATATGTAATTTGATTCCTTTCTCTTATGGATTGTAAAATTCTATCCTTATTCTGTATGCTAGGCATTTTCATTATAATGTATCTTGGTGTAGAACTGTTGTAATTTTGTACATTTAATCTCCTGTATGCCTCTTGTATTTGATTTTCCAATTCATTCTTCATGTTTGGGAAATTATCTGACATTATTTCATTGAAGAGATTGTGCATTCCTTTGGTTTGAATCTCTGTGCTTTCCTCTATCTCAATAAATCTTAGATTTGGTCTTTTAAAGGTATCCCATAATTCTTGGATGTTCTGCTTATGATTTCTTACCATCTTCACTATGTGGTCAACTTTATTTTCAAGATTGTATATTTTTTTCTTCATCATCTGATGTTTGTTTTTCCAAGTGATCTAAGTCTGTTGGGATGCTTTCTATTGAGTTTTTTATTTGGTCTATTGTTTCCTTCATTTCAAGGATTTCTGATTTTTCCCCAACATCTCTATCTCTTTTTTGCAGTAGTCTTTTGCTACCTGTATTTGCTCCCTTATCTCTTTCTTGGGTGTGATCAATGATTGCCTGTATTTACTCTCTTATCTCTTTGTTGGAGTGATCATTTTTTGCCTGTATTTGTTCACTTAAATCATTCTTTAATCCATAAAGTATTTTAATAATGTACATCCTAGACTCCTTCTTGACATTTCATCAACTGCACTGTTCATGGATTCTATTATTATAGTATCTTGGTTTGTTTGGGGCACTTTCTTCCCTTGTTTTTTCATGTTTTCTGTATATCTTCCTTTCTTGCAGTGTGGATCTGAGGTATTACAGTTTCTATCCTATAATCTTAGAGTGTCCCTGCAGATTACCTGTATCTCACCTTGGTGTTGGGCTCCTAGACCCCTGCTGGTGTCCTGCAATAAATGCTCCTGCAATTAAAGGTGGTAGCAGAGACAACTCAAGATAGCAATGGGGGTGTCCCAAGATGGATGCAGCTATTTTCAGAGATGGGGCTGAAAGGGTGGGCTGTCTGTTTGGAGATGCAGCTGTCTCCAGGCCCTATCTGTTGTCCCAGGATGGAGGCTACTGTGTGGGGAGGGCTATGGAAATGGCTGCAGTGTCTCAAGATGGTGGTGGGGTTGGCCTGGGTTCCATTGTGGTCTGCTGGTTGGTAGTACGGTCCTAGGTCTGGGCCTGGGTTCCAGGATAGGTCTGCTGGTCAGCAGGGGTGGTCCTAGGCCTGGATTAACTCTTTCTGATACAGATACTAACAAAAATCGTTAAAACAACTTTTTTTTTTTTTTCTGTAGAAGAGATGGAGTTTTGAAATGTTGCCCAGCCTGGCCTTAACTTACCAGTCTCAGGTGATCTCCTGCCTTCAGCTTC